ACCATTATGCACCTTCATAATTTTTTAAGTTTATCATCAGATATCATATTTATGGTGTCATTACCTTCAGAAAGATTCTATCATTTCAGAAGAAAAAAAAAAAATTTTGGACATTAATATCAAGGGTCTGGACAGTGAAAGGGTTAAGGAACAGTTTTAAAGATGAAACTAACAGGTAAACTATGTGGTTAACAAGTAGCTCATGTAGGTGCTTTAAACATAAGTGGTAACCCAGTTAAAAATATATATATATATATATATATATATATATATATATATATATATATATATATATATATATATATATATATATACATATATATATATATATACATATATATACATACAGTAGGGCCCCACTTATACAGCAGGTTAGGTTCCAGGCTACTGCTGGAAAGCAGAACACCATTTTTTCCACTCATAAATGCATATAAGTGCCAGACAAGTTTACACTAACTGAAGTTAGTAATAGAACTAGGCATTAAAAAACACAATAAGAATTAAAATACATGTACATGCATAGTACATTCATTATTTACCTTGAAATATTTGTAGTCTTATTAATGTAGGGTGAGAGGTGAGTAGTACTTATTTGTAGGAAGTCAGGTGTAGGTAGTCCTGGCTCCCTGTCCCAAACTTAATATACAATATTTAAACCAAAACTTGCTATATGGTGAGCTCTCTTTCAAATATGGCGCACCCTACCCGGTTTGTTTACATTCTCCGGGAGCACACCTCTCTATTATGTCTGGAAATTTTCCAGAATTTGAAGTGTTTTAAAGTTATTATTATTTTATATATATGTACTGTGATAATTATATTTATGTGTACCTGTACCTAAATATACTCACACTGTGCTGGCATGCAGGTACACAGTAAAATCACTAAGAGTCTCTCTCTACTCTTGAAACCATATAATCTCTTGGGTGCATTAAATGTTGTATATTACATTAATATAGACATTTCCATTACTCCATCTATGATTTTTTTTTTTCAAAATTATATAATAGACATGTTACCTAACATATAAACATGGTACATACGCCCACAGTATAAAAACTGACATAAATGAGATTTGTTTACCAAGCAGTCAGAAGAATTATGTTTTCTCTAGTCAAACACCAGTTTCTTAACTGTAGAAGTTTATTCCTTTCGTACACCTTCACTCTACAGCTATTCATGACCCTTGTGGGTTTAGCGCTTCTTTTTTATTATTATAATAATAACTTGTAATAATAATAATAATAATAACTTGTAATAATAATAATAATTACTTGTAATAATAAGATTAATAATAATTTGTCAGAGCATCAGTCCTTCCAAAAATTACACGAGAATGGAAGTGTTGGTCTTTATTTATTCTACTGTACCACTGTGGAGACAACTTGTACACAATGTAAAGTGTTCGCATGAATGTGTATCAACCATAACCAGACGGTTTGTTTACATAAGTACTCTGCTACTCTGTCATCTTACTCGTTCTCGTTCTCTCTCTCTCTCTCTCTCTCTCTCTCTCTCTCTCTCTCTCTGTGTGTGTGTGTGTGTGTGTTTTTTTTTTTTTTATCTCGCTTACTCACCTCTCACCCTACATTAACCCTTAAACTGTCCACACGTAGATCTATGTTCACGTGCAGCAGGCTCCAAACGTAGATCAACATTTTATTTTTCATTCCTTCAAATTTGGCGCGATAGGTCTGATTCGCCTGGACATGAAAGAATGGGTCTATGCACTCAGTGTGCGCACTATGAAAAAATCGGGGATCACTTAGTACCTTGTGGGAGCACCAGTTCAATTGAGCGCCAGCTAGAGCAGATAGCGTGGCAAACACCAGTGATTCACTGATGTCATGTCATGTCATTAACACTCACATTTTAAGAGGAAAGTAAAAATAGGTTAGATAAATGCATGAGTGGGTGTGAGTTGGACCTGACTAGCTTGTGCTACTGGGTCAGATGTCATGCTCCTTCTTTCAGTGGATGTGACCTAACTAGGTGGGTCATTGATCTAAGCAAGGGGGGTGACATGGATCTGCTTTGCATGGGCCAGTAGGCCTTATGCAGTGTTCCTTCTTTCTTATGTTCTTATGTATTCGGCTGGCTGGCTGGCTTTGGCTGTCTGTCTGTTTTTTTTTTTTCCCCAACAAGTCGGCCGTCTCCCACCGAGGCAGGGTGACCCAAAAAGAAAGAAAATCCCCAAAAAGAAAATACTTTCGTCGTCATTAAACACTTTCACCTCACTCACACATAATCACTGTTTTTGCAGAGGTGCTCAGAACACAACAGTTTAGAAGCATATACAGTGGACCCTCACCTAACGATATTAATTGGTACCCAAGAACGAATATCGTTAGGCGAGTTTTTTAGCGTTAGCCGAGGCAAAATGTTAGCACTAAAATGTATTGTTAGGCGAATTGAACGTTATGCGATGCGTTCATTAGGCGAGGGTCCACTGCACGTATAAAGATACACAACATATCCCTCCAAACTGCTAATATCCCGAGCCCCTCCTTTAGAGTGCAGGCATTGTACTTCTCATTTCCAGGACTCAAGTCTGGCTATATAAAAATAGCTGGTTTCCCTGAATCCCTTCACTAAATATTACCCTGCTCACACTCCAACAGATTGTCAGGTCCCAAATACCATTCGTCTCCATTCACTCCTATCGAACACGCTCATGCACGCCTGCTGGAAGTCCAAGCCCCTCGCCCACAAAACCTCCCTTACCCCTTCCTTCCAACCTTTTTGAGGACGACCCCTACCCTGCCTTCCTTCTCCTACAGATTTAAATGCTCTCCATGTCATTCTACTTTGATCCATTCTCTCTAAATGACCAAACCACCTCAACAACCCCTCTTCAGCCCTCTGACTAATACTTTTATTAACTCCACACCTTCTCCTAATTTCCACACTCCGAATTTTCTGCATAATATTTACACCACACATTGCCCTTAGACAGGACATCTCCACTGCCTCCAACCGCCTCCTCGCTGCTGCATTCACAACCCAAGCTTCACACCCATATAAGAGTGTTGGTACTACTATACTTTCATACATTCCCGTCTTTGCCTCCATAGATAACGTTTTTTGTCTCCACAACGCACCACTCACCTTTTTTCTCTCATCAATTCTATGATTAACCTCATCCTTCATAAATCCATCTGCCGACACATCAACTCCCAAGTATCTGAAAACATTCACTTCTTCCATACTCCTCCTCCCCAATTTGATATCCAATTTTTCTTTATCTAAATCATTTGATACCCTCATCACCTTACTCTTTTCTATGTTCACTTTCAACTTTCTACCTTTACACACACTCCCAAACTCATCCACTAACCTTTGCAATTTTTCTTTAGAATCTCCCATAAGCACAGTATCATCAGCAAAAAGTAACTGTGTCAATTCCCATTTTGTATTTGATTCCCCATAATTTAATCCCACCCCTCTCCCGAACACCCTAGCATTTACTTCTTTTACAACCCCATCTATAAATATATTAAGCAACCATGGTGACATTACACATCCCTATCTAAGACTTCTGCAAGCAGCAGGACTGGATGTTGCCGTCAGGTGAGCATCCAGAGACAATTTCGTGCTCTTATATCTCAGTAAATACTGGTCTTAAATTTTTTTTTTTTGGTCTTATACCACACAGAAAATTGCCCTCTTTAATTTAAAAAAAAAAAATGTGTTTTTCAAAATATTTGGAGCGCCACGCAGGCGAACATAGATCTACGTTTGGACAGTTTAAGGGTTAAAACTACAAATATTTTAAGGTAAGTAATGAGTGAACTGTATATTCATTTTATTGCACTGGGATCTTAAATGTTATAGAATATTATGTGTGGGTGGGGTGGCCTGGTATGGTAGCCCAGCTGGCTGCCATACATACCACACTTGATTTCTTACAATAAATACTTCTTGTCTCACCATAGATTAAGACTACAAATATTTTAAGGTAAGTGATGAGTGTACTACAGTATATGTGTATTTTACTTTTTTATTGTTTTTTAATGCCTAGTTCTATTGCTAACTTAGTATATGTTAGTGTAAATTTGTTATCTAGTATTTATATGCATTTATAAGTGGAAAAAAGGGGTGTTCCACTTTACGGTGATTTCCGCTTTACATCAGTAGCCTGGAACCTAACCTGCTGTATAAGTGGGGCCCTACTGTATTATAATTTTGTTTTGCTTGAAAATAATGATGGTTGATTGTGGAAAGCCATACTCATGCACCAGGGCACTAATTTTAACTCTTAACATGTGTTTTCATGATTTCTTGCTTGATCTTCAGAGAAACTGGCAATTTATTGTGCACTTTGGGGAGCATGATGACCTGGTAACACAAAAAAAATGGCCTATTCAAATCACAAATGCAGTTATGAAAAGTAAGTAATTGAGAGTTGGTGGAGACAACACACGCAGTAGCTCCAGACTGAAGAGGAAACGATAAACTGTAGCTCAAATGCTTGTTATTGTCTGAGATGCTACCACTGAGATATTCACTCTCATCACTGATTAGCTGCTAAGTCAATCCCATACATCCCCACTGATGCTCTTATTGGCTCAGAAGCTGCCAAAGAGGCAAGCTACCACATTACTGGTTGGCTGAGGCATACCCTCTCACACCAATTATTGTATGCATATCTTAAAAACCTTTCATTGCTGCTCAAAATTAAATTGTTTTATGTGGGTAAATTGTAACTCAAAATTATCATGAGTCAAGACCACTGTAACTTAAGGAACCACTCTACAGTAAGTGATAATGTTAATTAATATAAAGTAATGTTGTACATTGAGAGCATTGTTAGTAACCACTTAGTGTTATGGGTGTCCAAGACGTAGAAATAATTTGTAAGTATTTTTGAAAGTGGACTAAAACTTGATTTTGTCAGACGGTATCTCTAATTTTAGGAAATTGTCCAAGATTAATGCACTGGGTATCATGATAGTGTTTAATTAATACTTATTAATTTTTTTTTCTTTAATATTTTGCAGCAAAACAAAATGGCACACCTAGCAGATCTCTTCTCGTTACCGGAAATGTGTCTCCTAAGTCAGGTAGCACAGTACTTCCTTGACAACAACATTCCCTACCATTCTGTCCCACTCTTCAATGATGTTAAGGTAAGTGGTCCCTTGATTGATATTCAAAGTAGTGAAGATTTGAAATAGGTTTAAATTGTTACATAAACCTATAACCAATGAGCTTATTGGTGATACTACATAGTTATGCCTAATCTTCAAGAGCAGTGTGAACCCTGTACTATTTTTGTAGTAATATGTTTGTAGTTAGACGTTCTAGCATATGTTTAACTACAAGCATTTTTTTTTTTTTTTTTAAATGTTTGTAGTTAAACATATGTTAGAACGTCTTGTAGGTTCTACCCCTTGAATACTTGTCTTTATGCTTAACATTTTTTTGGGACAAAAAGGTGAACATGTATGTTTTGCAAGTATGTTGCCTGAATTTTCCTTTTTTTAATATTCCTAATTTCCACAAACATCACGTAAAAAGTGCAGGTATCAGTGTCTTTTGTCTGTCTCATAAATATGCAAGATTACAGGTATGTCTTGCTACTTCTACTTACACTTAGGTCACACTACACATACATGTACACATTTATTTATACACACTCATCTGAGTTTTCTTTGATTTTATCTTAATAGTTCTTGGTCTTGTTACTTTTCCTTTTATATCCATGGGGAAGTGGAATAAGAATCTTTCCTCCGTAAGCCATGCATGTTGTAAAAGTCAACTAAAATGCCGGGAACAATGGGCTAGTAAACCCTTTTCCTGAAAAGATTACTAAAAAGAATAAGAAGAAGAAAATTGTCAAAGTGGGAAGTCTGAATGTGTGTGGATGTTGTGCAAATGATAAGAAAGAGATGATTGTGAATGTTATGAATGAGAAGAAGCTGAATGTCCTGGCTTTAAGTGAAACAAAGCTGAAGGAGGTGGGAGAGTTTCAATGGAGAGGAATAAATGGGATTAGGTCAGGGGTTTCAAATAGAGTTAGAGCTAAAGAAGGAGTAGCAATAATGTTGAAGGATAAGCTATGGCAGGAAAAGAGGGACTACAAATGCATAAATTCAAGGATTATGTGGAGTAAAATAAAGATTGGATGTGAAAAGTGGGTTATAGTAAGCGTGTATGCACCTGGAGAAGAGAGAAGTGTAGAGGAGAGAGAGAGATTCTGGGAAATGTTGAGTGAATGCGTGGGGAGTTTTGAATCAAGTGTGAGAGTAATGGTGGTTGGGGATTTCAATGCTAAAGTGGGTAAAAATGTTATGGAGGGAGTAGTAGGTAAATTTGGGGTGCCAGGGGTAAATGTAAATGGGGAGCCTTTAATTGACCTATGTGTAGAAAGAGATTTGGTAATAAGTAATACATATTTTATGAAAAAGAGGATAAATAAATATACAAGGTATGATGTAGCACGTAATGAAAGTAGTTTATTAGATTATGTATTGGTGGATAAGAGGTTGATGGGTAGGCTCCAGGATGTACATGTTTATAGAGGGGCAACTGATATATCGGATCATTATTTAGTTGTAGCTACAGTTAGAGTAAGAGGTAGATGGGAAAAGAGGAAGGTGGCAACAACAAGTAAGAGGGAGGTGAAAGTGTATAAACTAAAGGAGGAGGAAGTTCGGGTGAGATATAAGCGACTATTGGCAGAAAGGTGGGCTAGTGCAAAGATGAGTAGTGGGGGGGTTGAAGAGGGTTGGAATAGTTTTAAAAATGCAGTATTAGAATGTGGGGCAGAAGTTTGTGGTTATAGGAGGGTGGGGGCAGGAGGAAAGAGGAGTGATTGGTGAAATGATGAAGTAAAGGGTGTGATAAAAGAGAAAAAGGTAGCTTATGAGAGGTTTTTACAAAGCAGAAGTGTTATAAGAAGAGCAGAGTATATGGAGAGTTAAAGAAAGGTAAAGAGAGTGGTGAGAGAGTGCAAAAGGAGAGCAGATGATAGAGTGGGAGAGGCACTGTCAAGAAATTTTAATGAAAATAAGAAAAAAATTTGGAGTGAGTTAAATAAGTTAAGAAAGCCTAGGGAAAGTATGGACTTGTCAGTTAAAAACAGAGTAGGGGAGTTAGTAGATGGGGAGATGGAGGTATTAGGTAGATGGCGAGAATATTTTGAGGAACTTTTAAATGTTAAGGAAGAAAGAGAGGCAGTAATTTCATGCACTGGTCAGGGAGGTATACCATCTTTTAGGAGTGAAGAAGAGCAGAATGTAAGTGTGGGGGGAGGTACATGAGGCATTACGTAGAATGAAAGGGGTAAAGCAGCTGGAACTGATGGGATCATGACAGAAATGTTATAAGCAGGGGGGAATATAGTGTTGGAGTGGTTGGTACTTTTGTTTAATAAATGTATGAAAGAGGGGAAGGTACCTAGGGATTTGCGGAGAGCATGTATAGTCCCTTTATATAAAGGGAAAGGGGACAAAAGAGACTGTAAAAATTATAGAGGAATAAGTTTACTGAGTATACCAGGAAAAGTGTACGGTAGGGTTATAATTGAAAGAATTAGAGGTAAGACAGAATGTAGGATTGCGGATGAGCAAGGAGGTTTCAGAGTGGGTAGGGGATGTGTAGATCAAGTGTTTACATTGAAGCATATATGTGAACAGTATTTAAATAAAGGTAGGGAAGTTTTTATTGCATTTATGGATTTAGAAAAGGCATATGATAGAGTGGATAGAGGAGCAATGTGGCAGATGTTGCAAGTATATGGAATAGGTGGTAAGTTACCAAATGCTGTAAAGAGTTTTTATGAGGATAGTGAGGCTCAGGTTAGGGTGTGTAGAAGAGAGGGAGACTACTTCCCGGTAAAAGTAGGTCTTAGACAGGGATGTGTAATGTCACCATGGTTGTTTAATATATTTATAGATGGGGTTGTAAAGGAAGTAAATGCTAGGGTGCTCGGGAGAGGGGTGGGATTAAATTTTGGGGAATCAAATTCAAAATGGGAATTGACAGTTACTTTTTGCTGATGATACTGTGCTTATGGGAGATTTTAAAGAAAAATTGCAAAGGTTAGTGGATGAGTTTGGGAATGTGTGTAGAGGTAGAAAGTTGAAAGTGAACATAGAAAAGAGTAAGGTGATGAGGGTATCAAATGATTTAGATGAAGAAAAATTGGATATCAAATTGGGGAGGAGTAGTATGGAAGAAGTGAATGTTTTCAGATACTTGGGAGTTGACGTGTCGGTGGATGGATTTATGAAGGATGAGGTTAATCATAGAATTGATGACTGAAAAAAGGCGAGTGGTGCGTTGAGGTATATGTGGAGTCAAAAAACGTTATCTATGGAGGCAAAGAAGGGAATATATGAAAGTATAGTAGTACCAACACTCTTATATGGGTGTGAAGCTTGGGTGGTAAATGCAGCAGCGAGGAGACTGTTGGAGGCAATGGAGATGTCCTGTTTAAGGGCAATGTGTGGTGTAAATATTATGCAGAAAATTCGGAGTGTGGAAATTAGGAGAAGGTGTGAAGTTAATAAAAGTATTAGTCAGAGGGCAGAAGAGGGGTTCTTGAGGTGGTTTGGTCATTTAGAGAGAATGGATCAAAGTAGAATGACATGGAAAGCATATAAATCTATAGGGGAAGGAAGGCGGGGTAGGGTCGTCCTCGAAAGGGTTGGAGAGAGGGGGTAAAGGAGGTTTTGTGGGTAAGGGGCTTGGACTTCCAGGAAGCGTGCGTGAGCGTGTTAGATAGGAGTGAATGGAGACGAATGGTACTTGGGACCTGACGATCTGTTGGAGTGTGAGCAGGGTAATATTTAGTGAAGGGATTCAGGGAAACCGGTTATTTTCATATAGTCGGACTTGAGTCCTGGAAATGGGAAGTACAATGCCTGCACTTTAAAGGAGGGGTTTGGGATATTGGCAGTTTGGAGGGATATGTTGTGTATCTTTATATGTGTATGCTTCTAAACTGTTGTATTCTGAGCACCTCTGCAAAAACAGTGATAATGTGCGAGTGTGGTGAAAGTGTTGAATGATGATGAAAGTATTTTCTTTTTGGGGATTTTCTTTCTTTTTTGGGTCACCCTGCCTCGGTGGGAGACGGCTGACTTGTTGAAAAAAAAAAAAATCAGTGTCGAAATGCCACAGGAAATGTACATGATAATGCAGAGTTCAAAACAATGCTATATCAGTTTCTTCATGCTATGAACCATTGCATATGAATGTTCCTGTAGGGTATTGATGGATACATTGTTCTTGGATGCTCATGTATAGCAAAGATTATTACTCGGCTAAAACCATATGGCCAATGATCACTTAGCAGTACCAAACAGTTTCATTCAGTCTGAATATATTCTGGTTGTCTGGTGAACAATTTTCTTGACATTGTAGCTACTTTGACCAGGTGTATGGATATCTCCATGCTCACTGCATCATTTATTTAACAAATTGTTTGTTAACATTATTTTTTTAAAGTGATTGGGGTTAAGTTACAATGCCATTATTCTCAATTAAAATCATAATTTACCCATTTTCAAAATATTCTTATCTTACTAATTCAGTATTCTTTAATTTACAGGCAGCCATTGCCAGCATTCACCCTGAGATGCATCGTGTTGTTGGTCGCAACATCAGCGAGTATTTGATCAAAGACCCAAGTCTCGTTGACTTTTTTGATAGGTTAAAGAAACATAACAAAGAAATTTTCATCATAACCAACAGTCCATTTTATTTTGTGTAAGTATGAGATTATTTTCAGGATATACATATTTCTCTTTTTTTCCTTCATGTGGGTTCTGCATGTAGATATTATATACCTTTGTGTGTATTGGTATATCACTGTATTTATCCTTTTTTTTTTATTGCTGAAAAATTAAATGAACTAAACCATGTAAATAATGTTCTTGCTAATTATGTACAATGTACAGTGTTAAACTAGGTTTTTGGTTAGTGTCAAATAACTCTTGTAATATACGTATTTGTTATTTATGGTTGAATATTTTTTCTTTAACTTTTTAATTGTCAAATCGTTGATCTACATTTTACTGCTGGTGCTCATGATGTTGATCAACGCACTGTTTTTCTTGCCTTCAAATTTGGTGCCAGAGGCCTGATAGGCCTAGACAGTATAGAATGGGTCTTAACATTCAGTATGTGCAGTATTAAATTTGGGACCCCCAGTATGTGCAGTATTAACAAAATCTGGGACCCCTTAGCACCTTGTGGGAGCACCAGTTCAATCGAGTGCCAGCTAGAGCAAACAATATGGCAAACCCCAGGGATTTACTAATGCCAAGTTGTCTTAACACACTCCTTTTCAAGGAAAGTGATGTTGACCCTGATTTTAGTGGCTTTGACATAGTTGTGGCCAAAAGTGGTCAAGGAATTATAAGAAACTTAGATAATAACCCATGTGCAACATTTGTGCCTCAGTCCTCTCAATATTAATGCAACTGGTAGTGTCATCCTGCCAGAATGTCCTATCAAATATGCCCTAAGTAGAGAGAGATGATTCTGCTACATCTGTAATACATGTTCAGCTGGCTGGCTGGCTAGCTAGTTAACTCTTGTCTATATCTCTGTCTCAGAGAGAGTCACTCATGAACCAGAATCAAGGACTAAGTAAGTTCATTTAGGCACAGGTACACACGTACAGGTGTCATACATAGTGTAAATTACCTAGGATAACCCAAAAAAAGCCAGACAGGTACTGTGTTGTGCTTGTAGATATGAGGCATAAGCGTGACTGTGGCAAGTAAGACATTTCGGCCGTAGTTGTATCTTTCCACTTGTTCAGACGTGACAATTCTGCAATGTGTAATACCTGTTGGTTCATGAGCTTCTCTCTCTGAGAGAGAGATAAGCAGAGAGACAAATAGACAGACAGAGACAGACATGCTTGTGTGTGGAACAGTGAGAAAAAATAAAAAACGTATGCCAAGGTTCACTGGGAGCAGTGCATCATCAGCAATATTGAGTGACTGTACCGTCAAAAGTGTCAAGTGACACTCTTGTCTGACACCATGCTTCAAGGCGTTTCATATATTCTAGCACTTCTGAAAACATTATTGGAACCTATAAATATTTTGTATATATTTCTAAACAATAGAATGTGACTTATTACTATTTCTGTATCTGTTATTAGTGTCAGAACAAAGATTGGCTATAAAAATCACAAGAACTATATAAATTGCAACTTATTCTTCTTTCAACAAACCGGCCATATGCCACCAAGGCAGGGTGACCCAAAAAGAAAAAAAGTTTCTCTTTTTAACTTTAGTAATGTATACAGGAGGAGGAGTTACTAGCCCCTTGCTCCTGGCATTTTAGTAGCCTCTTATGACATGCATGGCTTATAGAGGAAGAATTTTGTTTCACTTCCCCCTGGAGATAGGAAGAAATAAACAAGGACAAGAGCTAGTAAGAAAATAGAAGAAAACCCAGAGGGGTATGTATATATATATTTGTACATGCATGTGTAGTGTGCCCTAAGTAGAAGTAGCAAGACGTACCTGAAATCTTACATGCTTATGAGACAGAAAAAGACACCAGCAATCCTACCATCATGTAAAACAATTACAGGCTTTCATTTTACACTCACTTGGCAGGACGGTAGTACATCCCTGGGTGGTTGCTGTGTACCAACCTACTACCTAGATAAACTGCAATTATCAGAACATAAAAATTACGTAAATTAAAAAATGAGAAAATGGGTATATGTATTGCTAACATTTCTGCAGGCAGCAGGACTCCATGTTGCCACCACATGAGCATCTAGTGTCAACTTTGCCACCTTATACTAGTTCTCAGTAAGGGCTGGCTGGGTTTTTTGCTTGCTCTTGTGCTTGCTAGCTGGCTGGCTTTTTTGCTTGCTCTTGCTGGCTGGCTGGCTTTTTTGCTTGCTCTTGTTGACTGGCTTTTTTGCTTGCTCTTGCCAGCTGGTTTTTGCTGTCTGTCTCAAGAAAGCAACTGCCTCACTCCCACCTGGCTTTTTCTTGAGGTCTACAGCTATGGCAAGATCTGATAACACTTCCCTCTTCAGGATCTTGTCTGTGTGAAGAGAAGTCTTTTTGGGTGGTATGGTGCCAGGTTGGAGTCAGGCAGCTTCTTTCTTGAGGTTTTAAATTGCTATCCTCCTCACCTTCAGGCCTGCAGCTACGCGTATCACAGACATGCCTTGTTCTAATAGGGTGAGTGCACGGATCTTCTCTGCAATTGAAAGTTTAGTTTGACCCATTCTGACTGCTAGGAGTGGAGATACAGCCTATCATCACTTAATGATGGAGTTCCATTCCTAAGACCACATCAGTTAATGAATTCGTCGTTAAGTGAGGAGCATACTATAATGGTAGTGGGTTTGTGTCAACCATCTTTGGTTATGTTTTAATGTTACCTTTTCACCATTTATAACATTTCTGGTACATTTTTAAATGTTTATACAGTAGTGTACTGTATATTGTAATAAACAGAATAGAGGAAATAGGCTGTAATATACATTATTTAGGTATGCATACTGTTCAGAGAGCCCGTCGTAAGTCTGAGTCATTGGTAAATGAGTACATCACTAAGTGAGGAGAGGCTGTATAGCATGGCAAAGTTCATGGTCCAGTGAAAAAAAGGGGCACTGAGGAAGGCCTCCTTCCTCACCAAGCTCTGGCAGAGCACTGAAGCTTAGCATGATGGGAAACCACGGAGCAAGACGGGCTCCAGTACACTACGTCATCACACTTTTCCTATGGTGGAAACACGAATGAAATGTATGCACCAAAATTTTGTGTATAGATGTATTTTTGTTGGACATGTAAAGATTTTTTTGTGGCCACTGTATTTCTAGACAATAATATGTGACTAAGGCAGGTGCAAATGTTCACCTGTCAGTGTGTGACTATTTGAGTACTATTTCAGTACCTGATATTAGTGTCAGAACAAACATTGGCTATGAAATCACAAGAACTACTACAAATTGGAATTATCAGAACACAAACGAGAAAAAAGGTATATTGGCAACACTCCTGCATGCGGCAGGACTCCGTGTTGCCGTCAGGTGAGCATCCAGTGCCAACTTCATCTTGATAAGTACTGACCCTAATATATTTTTTTTTTGCCTTATTGCACACAGAAAATTGCCCTCTTTAACCCCTTAACTATTCAAACGTAGATCTGTGTTCTTACTTCTAGCGCTCCAAACGTAGAGCAGCGTTTTATTTTTCCTGCCTCCAAATTTGGGACAATTGACCTGAAATGCCTAGTCAGTATAGAATGGGTCTTAACACTTGGTGTGCACAGTATTAAAAAAATCTGGGACCACTTAGTGCCTTGTGGGAGCACCAGTTTCATTGAGCACCAGCTAGAGCAAAGAGTGTGGCAAACACCAGGGATTCACCGATGTCATGTATTAACTCTCCCCTTTTAAGAGGAAAGTGATGTTGGCTCCGAGTTTAGTGGCTTTGAGATGGATGCGACCACAATTGGTCGAGGAAATATCAAAAACCTCGATAATAATCAATGTGCAACATCCTGTCAATTTTGATATCACTGGTAATGTCATCCTGCCAGAATGTCCTATAACCTATACCTTGAGTAAAGGGAAACAATTCTGGTATGTGTGTAATACGTCTTTGACAGGCCGGGTGGCTAGCTGGCAGGCCGGGTGGCTGGCTGGCAGACCGGGTGGCTGGCTGACAGGCCTGGTGGCTGATTGACTTTGGTTGTCTCTATCTCTGTCTGTATACATATATCTCTGCCTGTCTCTGTATCTCTGTCTATCTGTCTCTATTTCTATCTCACAAATACACATAAATAGTTATTATACAGAGTGTAAATTACCAAGGATAACCCAAAAAATCCAAACAAAGTGCTATACTGTGCTTGTAGATATAATGCATAATAAGCACGACTGGCAAGTAATACGCATTTTCACTTGGTCAGGAATCAGACGTGACAACTCTGCATCCTCTGCATTGTGTGTAATACCTGTTGGTGCTGAGACAGAAAGAGAGACAATCAGACAAAGAGACAGGAAGACAAACATACAGGCAGACAGAAAGACAGATAATCTGGAGTTTATCTGGAGAGAGTTCCGGGGGTCAACGCCCCCGCGGCCCGGTCTGTGACCAGGCCTCCTTAGGTCAGTGTCCCAGGATGCGACCCACACCAGTCGACTAACACCCAGGTACCCATTTTACTGATGGGGAACATAGACAACAGGTGGAAAGAAACACGTCCAATGTTTCTACTCTGGCTGGGAATCGAACCCAGGCCCTCACCGTGTGAAGCGAGAGCGTTAACCACCAGGCCACCAGAGCCAGGTTGGTAAATGAATTTGGACAGGTACTTAAAAAAAAAGAAACTTAAATGTAAACATAGGAAAGATCAAAGTTATGAGACTATCTAAAAATATAAGCAATGAGAAATGAATATTAGATTGGAGGGAGTATGGAGGAAGTCAACGTGTTCAGATATTTGGGAGCAGACTTGATGGCAGATGGTTCTATTGACAGATGGTAAAACCTAGAACTGATGAAGGGAACAGGTGGTGGTCGACCAAGGATCTGTGGAGACAAAGAAATTATCCATGGAGGCAAAAAGAGGAATGCCAAGGAATAGTTGTATCAGCATTGATGTATGGACAAGGAACATGGGTTTTGAATGTTACAGTGAGGAGACCCAAGAGGCAGTAGATATATAATTTGAAGGAAATGTGGAGTGTGAATATCATGCAAAGCATTTTGATTTTC